GCTCGAGTGCCTGGCTCTGTGCGCCATCTTTGCTTCTTCCTGAGGGCTGTGGAGCTCTGTTTGAGTGTGGAGCTGCTTCCTGGTCTGGGCTGTCGTGCTGGTGGGTCCTGGGGCTTTTGTTCATTTGTTCGTTTTGAATTGTTTGTTTCTTTTCTTTTCCTTTTCTTGAGTTGGGAGCCCTTTCTGGCCAGGAGGAGCTGTGTGGCAAGGAACTCCCCTTCAGCTTTCACAGACGTGCAGAGGGATCCCTGAGGGCATTTCTTTTTTCGTTGGTTTTTCTTTTTTTTTTCTGTTTTTTTCGGGGGCCTTTCTTGTTCTTTCTTTTTTTTAATTTTTAATTTGCTTTGTTTTCTTTTCCTTCTTTTTCCCTTTTTGTCTTTCTTCATTGCTCAGTTTCTCGTCTCTCTATATCTTCCTTCTCTTTCTGATCCCCGAATACCAGGCGTTGTATACTTCTACTCCTTCTAGCCAGGCTGTACTGCAACACCTGAGAGCGATTTCCCCAGACCTCATAGCGGCATCAGTGGGATCCCTGAAACTTTGCGGTTCTTTAACATTTCTGATTTTTATTTATTCATTCTTTTCTTTTCTTCCTCTTCCCCTTTCTGTTTTTCTCCATTTTATAGTCTCTCATCTTTCAATTCCAATGGCAAACTCCCCTAGCATTATTTTTTGTTTGTTTTTATGTTTTTGGATCCTGTACCTCTCTCCTTTCTCCCATATCCATCTTAGTTCCACACATAACAATCTCCCTGCTGCATCCTGCCTACCTGCACCGTGCGCTTCACATCACACCACCAAGCAGTACAGGCACAGCCTACTGGAACCTGCCCTACACTGATTACCGACCCACCCTGGTGGCTGTAGTAAGTGCCACAAACAACCCGTCCCAGTAACTCCTCTTCAGCTAGACCTGCCCTGTTGTACCATCTCTGAGTGACTGACCCTGCCAGTTGGAGAAGGAAGAGAAAAGTATTGAGCGCACAGATGAGCAAACAACAAAGAACACACAGTCCGCCTGCTCAGACATAGTCAAATTTTTTTTTTAAAGGGATGAAACAAACAAATCTACAATCAATAAACGAGAAAAATAACGACTGAATGCCCCAAAAACAGCAGACAATATCAAAACATTTACAAAAACAGGACAGGATGGTTCCAGTAGGTGCCCAAAATAAAACACCAGATGACTCTCCTGTGGAAGAAAATGCACTGGAACTACCT